AGCTAAAGAAATCATGCCTAAGATACAGGAGAGGTTATCCACAGACCTTATCTAGTCTTTAGGTAAACAGCTTAATATCTTTCAGCTTCAGTGTTGCATTCTGTTATAAAACAGAACAGGTAGAGAAAGCAGTGGTTGTCATTGTTTTTAGTAACAGGAACTTCTGTCCATAAGAACGTCTAATAGAGATGAAAATCAGTGTTGTTCTTACAGAAGTGAGTGGAATTAAATCTCTGACAATTCCCCCCAGGGCTGAAGAAGCTCCCAGGAGCAGCCTGAGGAACCCTGAGGGTTCCAACAGGAGCAGTTTGCCAAGCACTGCACATAAAGTCAAGCATTCTAAGTGCTTTCACTAGAATGGATGTAAAGATAGCAAATTAAGTGTTTGGCTGGAGTGTTTGTAAGATGTCTTCTTATAAATGCAATGTTTTCTTCCTTAGGCACTTCTACACACTATGTTTTAAAACATATAACAAAGTTATTCTCAATTCTGAAGCCAGAGTGTACTTGCCGAGAAAAAGCAAGACAGGCTTTGTTGCTCTTGCACTAATTCACAGGTCCACAGAGCCACAGCACCTGTGTTAATCCTGATTCTGCAAACCGTGCAGAGACAAACACAGAATGGGAAGTGTGAAATCCACCGCTATGTCTATAAACCCTGAGACAACTCTGGAGATTGTATTCAGCAGTGATTATGCTGCCATGTGTACCTTGTCTTGGGTAAAAGTAGAAGTTGAGCAGTTTGGAGGGTGGTACAGGTATTACCAAAGACAAGTTCTAAATGCACTTCTTGACAAAAATCTCCCACGTGCTGAATACTACATAAAGAAGCAACATGGAAAAGAAACATTGCGGTTTCCATACTTATTTTATAAATATAGTCATGTACTACATAATGATGTTTTGGGTAACGATGAATCATATATACAATGGTAGTCCTATAAGATTATAATGGTAGTCCTATAAGATTATACTTCCATATTTTTACGGTACCTTCTATGTTTAGATACACAAATAATTACCATTGTGTTACAACTGCCTGCAGTATTCAGTACGGTCGGTCACATGCTGCCCAGGTTTTTAGCGTAGGAGCAATAGGCCATGCCATACAGCCTGCGTGTATAGTAGGTTTGTGTGAGTACACTCTATTATGTTCACGCAGTGACACAATCACCCATCAGTGCATTTCTCAGAACGTATCCCCGTCATCCAGGGATGTGTGACTGCATCACGTAACAAAGCAACAGGAATTTGAAAATGCCTTTGCAAAAACTGTAACAGTGAGAGAAATCTAACATAACTGGTTCCATCTTGCTTGTAATGTTGCAAGCTAACTTCCCTTGCTCATTTCTGGGTAGGCCAAACCAACTATGGGAGGATTTTAGTTTACAGTTTAACATTAAAGCAAGGATGACAACAGTCCCTTCCCAAAACTACCCCTCCTTGTTTGGGGACCAAAACCACCTTTGTAAAACCACTGAATGGTCCCAAGGTTACACTTGTGGGAGAGACCTGCATTCTGCTAAGACCTACACATAGTTGCATGATAACTCGTCATTGCTTCCTAACCTGCTTACTGCTCAGGAGTCATGGAGCTGGTGGTCACAAGATGTGTAACTTCCCTAATTGCCCCTATAGACAACATCACTATTGTAAAACCTAAGCCTGGTATGTAAAATATTTTTCAGATTTTGCATTCTGGTGGAACAAGTGATGTCACCCGGACCAGTGACCCCCATGCAGGAACGACTTGGCGCACAAAGACAGTTTTGATACCTCTGTGATTTCTTCGCGGATGGTACCAATCAGCCTTTCCCATTCTCTAGCCTCTTGCCTGACAAACTGTCCTGAAAAATTCCAGCCTCCACACAAGGTCAGGGTTCGAGACCAGCCTGGCCAATATGGTGAAACCCCACCTCTACTAAAAATACAAAATTTAGCCGGGCATGGTAGCGCTTGCCTGTAATCCCAGTTATTCAGGAGGCTGAGGCAGAAGAATTGCTTGAACCCAGAAGGCGGAGGTTGCAGTGAGCCGAGATCACTCCACTGCACTCCAGACTGGGCGACGGAGTGAGAGTTTGTCTCAAAAAGAAAAAAAAAAAATTATGTTTTCCTGTTACTAAACCTTTTCCTTGGAGGGGAACAAATCAGGAAAACTACAGACAATGTAAGTGTTTTCCTGACAATCTCCAAAGTCTTTATCCATTTAGGGGAGGGAGAGAGTTTAATACTCTGTATGTAAGAACCCTGAATTCTGAATTGTGAGGCACATTAAAATACCTCTATGAGGATGGCTTTATGCTAGTAAGATAGAATGGACACTGTTATTAGATATTTAGAACAAATATTTTCACCCCCACTGCAACACTCCCACTTTATCTCAGAACATTAAGAAAGGACAATGAATGCTGTATTAGTTTATCATGAATTAATCATGAACCCTTTCAGCTGCATAGTTTTAATTAGCTACTGCATCTGTCATTTTTTTTCAGAGCCCTTCTAGCTGGGTCTAGAGAATGTCAATCTCTCCTGTAGACTAAAATGACCAAAAAGAAAAAAAGGTACTTAAAGTATTTCCCGGCAAAATGTACAGTTTCCAGAGGAATTAAAAAAAAAAAAAAAACCCTACTTAGCCAGTGCTAAAGACTTTGAAAGCAAGGTCAGAAATTCATGCCAGCCCATGTATTATCAATGACTTTAGAAAATAAATTATTCTTTAAAACGCCCAAAAAGTTTGTTTCTGAAACAGAAAAAAGGAACACTCAATCCTTTTAAAGAACAAATTACAGAAATCATAATGGAAAATGAATCTGTTAAGCTGCTCAGTGTTAGGAATGAATGTAAGCTGAGGCTTTAAGCCTCCACGGATGTTGCTTTCAGACAGAGAATCCTCTGTTATGGGGTTTAAATTTAATAGAAAGAAAAATCCTAAAAGGTCATTGTCCTTTTGTTCTCTTTAATTCTTATTCTGACTCATATCCCTCAAAGTAAAAGACCATTGACTATTCTAGGAAGAAAGAGAAGATTAAGTTAACTCCTCTTGTTGCGGTGAGCAGGGTCTGTCGCCCTCAGCACGACACTTCAGATTTGTGAGGAACTGTGGGTGCGCTGTGGGATGGTTAGCGGCACGCCTGGCCTCCACCCACTACATGCGCCCCACTCCAAAATTCTCACGACCAAAAATGTCTCCAGACTTTACCAAATTCTCCCTGAAGGGCAAAGTCTACCTGACACATAACTACTACCATCCCTAACCCCTGAAGCTGCCTGTTGAAAATCGTTAAATCACCCTGCAAGCCCGCTTTCAGCTCCCATTGCCCTGGCTGGCAGGATTATCCAGGTTTTCACCACATTTTCCCAAAACAGGGGCCGTCTCTTACCTTTTATAAGCACCCTATGAAACTGCCGCTCATCCCCCGTACCCCCTTTTTTTTTTTCTTTTTGAGACGGAGTGTTGCTCCATAGCCCAGGCTGGAGTGCAGTGGCGCGATCTCAGCTCACTGCAACCCCGGCCTCCCGGGTTCAAGGGATTCTCCTGCCTCAGCTTCCCGAGTAGCTGGGACTACAGATGCATGGCACGATGCTGGGCTAATTTTTGTATTTTTAGTAGAAACGGGGTTTCACCATGTTGGCCAGACTGGTCCCAAACTCCTGACCTCAGGTGATCCGCCCGCCTCAGCCTACAAAAGTGCTGAGATTACAGGCCTAAGCCACCAGGCCCAGCGTCTTTAAGTCACTTTTTACAAAGGAGGAAACTAAGGCATGCAGAGGTGAAACATTCTCCTGGGAACACACTGCCAGCTTGGGATGGGATGGAATCCCCAGCCCCAGGGTCTCTGAGTTTGGGAGTCTTTTCACACTGCTTTGAATCAAATATCTCCTCCAAAAGCATCTTCCTGTCCATTTCTTTGAGCCAGCTGCTGTGGTGGACCATGAATGCTCTGAATGGCCAAATATTGTGCCCCCTGGTGTTCTGATAGCATAGTGCCACAGTGGCGCAGACATGTCCAAGAACAGTTGTGAAATAACAGGGATTCTTCCCCGCAGGGGCTTTTAAAACTATGTTTCCCTCATCCACCCTAAAGACTTTCACCATGCACACTCACCTCCCACCAGCGAAAAGAGCTCTTCCTGCAGGGAGGGGCCATGCTCTGCCCCTCAGGCCTCACCTCCACCAGGGGGAGGAGCTCTTCCTGCAGGGAGGGTCCTGGGTATGCCCTCCACCCTCACCTCCACCAGGGGGAGGAGCTCTTCCTGCAGGGAGGGACCATGCTCTGCCCCTCAGGCCTCACCCACCAGGGGGAGGAGCTCTTCCTGCAGGGAGGGACCATGCTCTGCCCCTCAGGCCTCACCTCCACCAGGGGGAGGAGCTCTTCCTGCAGGGAGGGTCCTGGGTATGCCCTCAACCTTCAGCTCCACCAGGGGAAAAAGAACTTCCTGCAGGGAGAGACCTGGGTATGCCCTCAGCCCTCGCCTCCACCAGGCGGAGGAGCTCTTCCTGAGGGGAGGGACCCCATTCTGTCCCTCAGGTATTGCTGCAGCTGATCAGCTAAGAACAGGTATACTGTGAGCCTTCCCACTGTGCCATGTTTCTGTACCTTTGCTGATTGAACTAGAGCCAACTCAAGGGTCCAGGGGATGCATTAAATAATTTGTAAGCCCCCATCCCTATATTCCTCTAGACTTGCCACGTAACAGGCCACTTGCTTATGCTCATCAGATTATGCACGCTGCCCACATTGGCCCAGCACAGTCTTTCTCTATAAAAATATATTTGCCCCACAGATGCCCCCCTTTGACCTTTTGATGGAAAGTTCTTTCTGAATGAAAGATAGCTGCAATAGCACCATGTGCATGTCATCCCTGCAATATCAGAATGCCCCGAACACCATTATGAAGGTCACCGCATACCACTATTTGACTTAGACCACACAGTCCGTGTGAGTCAAACATGTGAGTATCAGGGTGAAGATACAAACACATGCACCTCTCATACTTACGCTATGAACAGCTGAAGATGATCTTGCGCCATTGTCCTCAGGAAGATCTTAACTTACTGAGATGACTGTGTGCAGGTTCAGCAACTGAGGGTCTCTTAGCAGAGTCAAACCAAGGGCATCTGGCTCTTCCTGTGAATTCATTCAAAAGATGAATAATCACACGCTGGGTAATCATATATTGACATAATTAAATGACATGAGCGCTTTTATTTATTTGTTTTTGTTTTTTGTTTTGTTTTGTTTTGAGACAGGGTCTCACTTTATTGCCCAGACAGCAGTGTGATCATGGCTCGCCACAGCCTTGACTTCCCAGGCTAAAGTAATCCTCCCACCTCAGCCTCCCAAGTAGCTGGGACTACAGGTGTACCACCACAGCTGGCTAATTTTTATAGAGATAAGTTTCCACTATGTTGTCCAGGCTGGTCTTAAACTCTTGGGCTAAACAGAACCTCAGCGTGACAAAGTGTTGGGATTATAGGTGTGAGCACTGTGCCCAGCCTCATGAGTTCTTTCTTTACTACAGCAGGGGTTCCCAACCCCTAGGCCTCTTAGGAATCACGCTGCACAGCAGGAAGTAAATGGCAGGTGAGCCGAGCTTCATCTCTATTTACAGTCATTCTCCATCACTCACGTTACTGTCTGAGCTCCACCTCCTGTCAGATCAGCCAGGGCATTAGATTCTGATAGGAGCACAAAACCTATTGCAAACTGCACATGTGAGGGATCTAGGTTGTGTGTTCCTTAGGAGAATCTAATGCCTGATGATCTGTCACTGTCTCCCATCACCGCCAGATGGGACCATCTAGTTGCAGGAAAACAAGCGCAAGTCTCTCACTGATTCCACATTATGGTGAGCTGTAGAATTACTTCATTATATATTACAATGTAATAATAATAGAAATAAAGTATACAATAAATGTGACACACTTGAATCATCCCAAAACCATCCCCCTCCCTGTCAATGGAAAAATTGTCTTCCACAAAAATGGTCCCTCATGCCAAAAAGGTTGGGGACTGCTGGTCTAAAGGATTTCTCTCCTCACTTTTCTTCTTCCCACTCTCTGCCTAACTCCTACCCATCCTCACGTCTCGGCTTACACCACTGCCGCAAGGAAGCCCTCCATCATTACCCTATATGAAGCAGGCTCCCCCACTGTTGACTATCATAGCACCTCTTTTCCCCCAGATAGCAATTATTACTACTTGCATAATAGATTCATTTATTTCCTGATTTATTCAGGTGACAGCTGTCCTTTCCACAGCTCTAAGGATCAAGAAGGCAGAGACCACATCTCATTTGTTCACCATAGCAAACACTCAATAGCTATTTTCTGAATAGGGCTGGGTTTGCACAAACAATGGCCCACAAGAAAAATCTGTCCTGATACCTGTTTTCATATAAGGCTTACATGCTTAAATGGTTGAAAAAAGGATATTATTTTGGGATATGTGAAAAGTATATAAGACTCAAATTTCAGTGTCTGTAATACAAAGTGTATCAGAACACAGCTGCCTCCACTCCCTTACTGCTTTTGTGCTACAATATGAGTTGAGTAGTTGTGACAGATACTATTTGTCCCTCAAAGCTGGAAATATTTATTTACTATCTAACCCTTTGCAGAAACAATTTTTTGACCTCTCATACAAAGTCCTAGAAATGAGTAGAAAATGGTCTCAGAAGAAAGCCAAGAAGATAGCTTTGAACCTATTGAAGACTTTCCCTTTAACTTGTTGACATTTAGACCAAAAATCTAGTATATGCCTTAAACTATTTATTAATGTATAAATCTATTGTTTATGCTTTGAAATATGAAGCATAATCCCACTTGGTAAAAAAAAAATTCACAAGAGAACATCACATTAGAGAAAAATTACTATTCCATATAGATTTTTGTAAATGTGGATTTTGCTTTATTGAAGTTAGGCTTCTAGCAACAATTTCTGAGGTTCAATCAAAGTCTCAGAAATGTTATTTTTCCCCCCAGAAATGGCATTTGAAACTGTAATCAATCTTCCAGCATGGCTTTTCATGTTAGATTCTTGTTGAAATGGAATAGTGTGCTGTCAACATTGATCCTTAACCTCCCACTGCAAGAATGACAAAACCACTGGGCAGGGTCTCCCCATCTGCTCATTCACCATGACATCATCAGGCAAGACTAAGATTGCATGGATGTGGGTTTGAACAATTGGGTGTCTCTCCTTGCGAGGTAAGAAAGGTCATTATTTTCCTTTTTTTGTCCCCGCCTTTTATTTACAGAAAATAGATTTTAAGGTATCAGCATGGAAGCTCTTTGACCCACACTTGATACTCAGTGTTTACCAATTCCCCAGTGAGAAAGGAAGACAAAGAACATATCTGAAGGGATTAAGTCACAATGCCTATCACAGTGGTACTGCCATGAAGAGCCTATACTTACTATGAAACAGTACAATGGAAAATTTAAAGGCTCACGTTTCAAGGACATTTTTCAAATCAGTATTAGATGGATTCTCACCCAGGAGTAATTTTACCCCACCAGGAACAGAAGATGATATGTAGAAACAGGTTTGGTTGTTGCAATTTGGGGGATGCTAATGGTATCCAGTAGGCAGAGGGCAGGAATTCTAGTAAATATCTTACAATGCACAAGGCAGCCCCCACCACAAAGAACTATACAGCCCAGTGCTCACCCTCAATCAATAAAGCATGGTCTTCTCCCAAGTGTCAATAGTGCCAAGGTTTAGGAATGCTGTGTTAGATCACTCATCCGATGCTCATTAAAGTGGGTGTGGCCACAAGCACAGGCAAATAGGTTTTAGGAGTGGAGGGAAATGGTACCCAGCTGACTCAAACAATCACACCTAGTAACTATGGTGATTCCTCTGTTACTATCACAAGTTATATGAAAATAAGTCTCTTCTGATAAAATACACAATCCAAACTATAGGCACAGAGCAAGAAGATTGGTTAAGCCTGTTTTATTATGAGGAACCTACATTCCGATTTGTGTGTTCAAAAATAATAAGTATGCATCTTTATCCCCTTGAGTCTCTATTTATCTATAATCCTCATAACTGTCATTTGCTTGGCCATTTTTCTCATTTGCATGTCCCCTCCAAATGAAATTCCAGTTGTACAAGACTGAAAATGATAATGATCTAAGAATGGCAATAGGGTTTGCCATCCGTTGTCCGTAATTCTGAGACACAAAAAGCCCTGAAAACCAAATGATTTTTGTAATGCCCATTTTGTTGTATTGAGCATCAAAACCCAGACTGAATCAACTTGAGGCATCAGTATTTTCTCAGTCTATCAGCTTCTGATGTTCATTAGTATTGTGTTACTTTGTTGTGACTTCAGGTTTAATGGCATGGGTTTAATTTTGACTGTGAAAATGTCAAAAAGAGTTAAAGGCATCCTATGTTCAACAGTGAGAAGAAGAAGAGAACGCATTTGTCCTTAGCCATAGCCCAGGCAGTGTAGTTATTAAAGAAGACTGACTGTAGTATATTTAGGAAGACAGGAAATAAGTGGAAAGGTTAGTTGTTGAAATTTGACTGATTGGTTTGCCATAGGGTAAACCACATTCCAGTGTGTCCAGGACTGATGAGGTCCAGTTTTCAAACAGGAACAGTCTCAGGCAAACTAGGATGAGTCATTTATACTACTTTCTCGTGAAAGCTTCCAGAACATTCCATGTAGAAGTAAACACTGAAAACAAGTGTGAATATCCCAGAGATAGACTGAAGGAATTTATAAGGGTAAATGGTAATCTGGGGTGAAAAAGTATATCTTGAAGAGGAAGACATAGAATATGGTGCCAAGGAATTTGCACAGAGAACGTCCTTGGTGGGTGCTGTGGTAGGAACTTAGATGTCAAGGGAAGACCCAAGTCTTCCTCCCCCCAGCTGCTGCTGGTAGTTTTGATGGCTGACACACTTAGCAAAGTCTGTCTCTGGAAATCGGCCTCGGTCAAAGAGAACTACCTTTTCCAAGGGGACAGCATCTCCTTGCCTCAAGGTGGGAAACCCCTGAGGGACCTTCCTGGCTCCAGAGCTCCCTCTGAAATGAGCTGAGGTCTTTGTTGCAACAGCTGTGCTACTCAACTCCTCCCTTGGACTCAATTTCCTTTCCTCACTCCCCTGAAAGTGTTGACCCCAAGAATACACTCCCCATAAAAAATCTCCTGAGCACTTCAGAATCTATTTCCCATGACTTGACCTAAGACGATATCTGATTTTTTAAAAAACAGTTTATTCCTGAAAATATTTATGATGCTGATCAAACAGCCTCATCTTGCTGATCAAATAGCCCACCTTGCTACTAAGCTATAATCCTAGAGAAACTCTAATGTATAGGAGCACTCTTGACATAAGTGACTCCATCTTAGGAGAAGATTCCATCTTGCTTTTCAGAAGGCATCCTCCCAATAGGACCAGATGTTCGCCCAATCAATACAGACTGCACCCAACCAGATGAGATTGTAACCCTTTACTGTCACCCTTCACCAGAGGACTCAGGGGGATAAAAGAGCAGGACTTCACCTGTTCCACATGACCACCTCACTAGACCCCGTGTTGCTGTCACTTGTGGTCACCTCCATGCACCTGCCACTGAACCCTCTGCCCAAATCAAGGCCTCTTCTTTACAAGACGTGGGCGATCATCCAGACCAGCCCAGGACACTCTCCTTGTCCACATCACTCTTCGTGGACTGGTTCATTAACTCCTTTTCCTATCCCCTTTATGTGGATGTTAAATGTTACTTTGTGTGTTGTGGAATGTTTAATCTAGAACATTTGTATACTGATTAAGTATACTGCCATGTTTGGTTTGCAACATTGACTGTTGTAAATTGGCTGGAGCCTGTGTGTCCCTGGCTCTGGCTACCAAGTGAATGCGAAGTACTAAGAAGTAATAAGGAGTACTTAGTACTAAGGAGAATTGGCTCTTGCGGCTTTTATGACTGAATAAACATTTTCACAAGTCCAATCTTGTGGAAAGACACAAATATGTGCAGACCTTGTTGTCCGATCTTGTGCCATTCACAACATCTACCAAAAGCCAACAGGAGGGAGGTCTGTAAGCTTGGATTGACAGTTCTTTGTTGTGTCAACACTCAAAGGCAAACACAAAGTAAAGTTGTC